TTACTTAGGAAGCCATGGAAGCTGAGGAAGCTGAAAGCTTGGGGCTTCTCTTGAGCTGAAGATCTGAGGCTGCAAAGCAAAAGGATTGCTGAGAACAATTACAAAGAACCTGAGAAAGGACGCTGAATACAATCTATGAAAGGAAAATGAATACTACAGTCAACTACAAAAGATCCCTCACCAGGAATCCAGATTTGTTTTGGTGATAGTTCATAAAAAAAGGACCTCCTGTTTGTTTGAGGGGGGGGGGCCGTTTACTAATCAGGCGCCAACATTATAGACATTCACTGCGCGCGCTGCAAACTTCCAACAGTGACATCGACAAAGAGCCCTTGCGAGCGCGGCCCCGCAAGCATGCCAACATTGACAGTTTGCACTCAAGAAGCCTGCCAGAAAAACACTTTTGCTGTTCAACAAGGACTTCCTGCTTGCGCGCGCGGCCCTGCAAGCGTCCCAGCACTAATTGACAGTTTGCACTCAAGAAGCCCGCCAGAAGAACACTTTTGCTGTCCAACAAGGACTTCCTGCTTGCGAGCGCAGCCCTGCAAGCGTGCCAGCATTGACAGATTTGCATTCAAGAAACCCACCAGAAGAACACTTTCGCTGTTCAACAAGGACTTCCTGCTGGCGAGCGCAGCCCTGCAAGCGTGCCAGCATTGACATTCAATTTGGGCAATCTTGCAAGCGCAGCGTTGCAAAAGTGGCAGCGTTGATGTTCAAGGATTCCATGGTGCCTGTCAAGCAGGCAAAGACTAACTCACACGCTTTCACGGATGCCATATCTGAAGCGCTCTAAGTGCACTTGCTATGTAGGCTATGTGTACTTGCTATGTGTTGCGGTAAGTAGCACATATGTGACTTAGTAACTACAAGCTAACTAGAAAATAACTGCTTAATAAGTGGTTTAACAAGGCTAAATAATTATTAACCACTACGGGCCGCCAAGATTCCACCAACAGCACGCGCGCAAGAAACATGTGAAAACTCTAGTTACAATGGAGGGACGATTCGAGCATGATCCGAACACGACGCGAGACCGTCCGGAAACCGTCGTTCCGCAGAGCTTGACTTGCAAGGTTCGGAGCCATCCTTTATTGAAAAACACAACATTTCGTGCTTCCGCTATCTCTCAAACGCGCACTTTGTACGAGACTTCCTTCCAAAATGCATGTTGAACACCTGCAAAGCCAGAGCTAGAGCCAACTAAAGCTAGAGCTGACTGGAGTTAGAGCTGATTGGAGTCAGAGCTATCTAAGGCTAGAGCTGACTGGAGCTAAAGTGGAGCTAGAGAGCTGACTGAAACTACAGCTAACTAAGGCTAGAGCTGACTGGAATTAGAGCCAACTAAAGCTAGAGCTGACTGAAACTGGAGCTAACTAGAGCTAGAGAGCTGAGTGAATCTACAGCCAACTAAAGCTAGAGCTGACTGGAGTTAGAGCTAACTAAAGCTAGAGCTGACTGAAACTAGAGCTAACTAGAGCTAAAGCTGTTGAAAGGCCGTAACACGAAAGTTTTGCACCCTAAACATCCTTTCAATATATACAATGTATAAGACCTCCATTGCGCAACACCGCATTGCATTGCATTGGAATGTTCTTTTGGAACTCTACTCAACATGTTTTCTACGGAAAGTCGCAAACACAGCAAGTACGTCACTGGACGTTCCCTTGATATCAGAGGGCCGCAAAAGCCTTTTTTCCATTGGCGTTGGACTGTTGAAGCAACGCAAACAACCCCCTGCATCTGTACCATAATGTAGCTTGAACACAAAATTGGGATCAAACTATATTGTACATACACTGTATATATCTCGATTCCTCACACGCTATCTTACTGTGTAAAACTACTTTTGCACTAGTTTGGTCAACAACCCAATTCATGGGATCGCCTTGCTTGGTGCGTTGAGTCCATTTCTTGACAAACCCTGATGGGCACTTAAGGTATCATTAAACACTGGCGTTCTCTTCTACGGAATCATTCAAATTCACTGAAGGGCAAAATTTCACTGCCCTTTTTGCCTCACACCTATCTAGGCCTTTGCCATCCCTTAAGGGATCACGTGTCTTCAAGAATTATAAAGCTACCAAACTACGAAAATGCTTTTCTGGCAGGGGCCTCGAAGGATTACTATAATTTTGGCGCGTTTTGCAAATCGCCTGTCATGCGGACCAAGTGGCCAAGGTTGGGTCCCGGTCTAAGGTTGGCAAAGGACCTGCAAAGACTCGAGGCAGGGAAACACGAAGGCAGAGAATCACCAGCAATATATGAATGCCGCAGCATCTAAATGCAACAGGGCCGTGTAACAGCTGTGGTTTGCAAAAACTGCCTGCGCCAAAACTGGCTGGCACCAAAACAGTGCTGCGCAAATGCGGTCAAGTGTCGCATGCACATGTGGTGTAGTGTGGCGCGCATGGAGTTTTGTCAACACGGTATGTAAGAGTTGTCTGGCGCCAAAACAGTGCTGCGCAAATGCGGTCGAATATCACATGCACGCTACGCATTAAGAGTTGCCTGGGTCGTGAGGAGAGGTTGCTACAGCATGTGGTGTGGTGAGGTTTGTCAACACGGCTTTACGTAGAGGCTGTGTTGCGTCAACACTCATTTGTTTAAAGCAATATGGTGTGTGAACGCTGGTTTGCGTAGAAGTTGCGACCTGTAAGCGTGGCATGTGTTTGAACCGTCGTCCCAGAGCGGCACGCGCATGCATTGCGTAGGAGTCGCATTGCGCAACCTCATTGTAAGAGCATTGAAAGGGGGGAGGGGGGACATTGAATTGGTATATCAATCTTTGGTCCCAAGCAGGCTGTTGAAGCTACCCCTGTGCTTCGCAAAGCAAGCTCAAGGTATCCCTTACCAGGCTGCCTTTTGTGACAAATCTTGATGACCAGCAATCCGACGTGACTGTGGCTAGGGCATAACGTGATGCCCAGCTGCAATGGCTGCAATCTTAGGTCTCGACCACTTGCCCGCCGACTTTTCTGAGCAAAAACCTCCTCTAGCGCGCATGTGGCATTAGATGGCGAACTCGAACGTACCAGCTGCAGTGTCAAGAGTTACTGTACTACCTCCCGATTGTTAGTTGCACAAACAGTTCACTTAGCAAAACAAACAGTGCACATGTATCCTCGGGGGCATGGATACTCATTGCTTTCTCCTCGTCCTTGAAACGGAATGGCCTGGAAACCAAATAGCAATTGGCAATGGGTCGCGAAAAAAAGAACTGGCAGTGTCAAAAAGTCTGAACTCTGTTGTTGCTTGAAACTCTGAGAACGTGCGTGATGTGCGCATTTTTGCAAATCACCCAGAATCCATGCAACTGTCAACTTCAAACCCAACAATCTCACCTGAAACTTTGCAGGCTGCTTGGACAAGATGAATTAGCCACTGGCACGCCTCATGTCATGCAAGTAGGCACGCTTCATGTCACGCAAGTTAAAAACCAGCTGTAAGTAAATCGTAGTCATATCTGTCTGGCGAAAGCATTGCAACGCGACAGTATTGCGCGCCCTACGTGCAGGTCAGTCTAGCCGAAGTCGAGTCTAGCCCACAGGTGGAAAGTGTTCAGAACGTTGCAGCACATGGTTTTTCCTTGCCGCGAACAAGGACACTCCACGCACACTTTAACTGTAGCTGCCCTTGTCATCGTGGCGCGGAAGAGCAACTCAAAGCAAGTCCCCAATGAAGGACAGAAGGTCGAAGTTGCAAGCTGTGTTTTCCGATTCGCGCGTCTGCGTGTGTGTGTGTGCCCCTTGTAGTCACAGGGATTCTTTTGAATTGTTTTCGTTTACTTCAGCAGGGGGCATGGCAGCTGTTTCCATAGCCATGCCAGCGAAGCTATGGGGTTCAGCCGGAAGGGAATGTGGAGCACATTCCTGTAACCTTTGGTAAAGTGCTAATGCACCTGCTGATGTGAGCAGCCGTCGTCGTAGTAGCCATCGTCGTCGTAGTGACTAGTAGTAGTAGTGATAGTATTGGTAATAAAAACAATAACAATAATAGTAAGAGTAGGTAGTAGTAGTAGTAGTAGTAGTAGTAGTAGTAGGTAGTAGTCGGTGGTCGTAGTAGCAACCAATGGTAATAGTAGGTGACTAGTAGTAGTGGTGGTGGTGGTGGTGGTGGTAGTAGTAGTAGTAGTAGGTGAACCAAGGTGCCTTCAGGTTGCGAGGCCGCCATTGCAGCTGCCACGCAAGCAGGCATGTACAGCAACCAATGGTCCTTGTAGTGAGGGTCCGATATGTACTGTTTGGTCCTTAGTTCTTCTATTTTCTTCCAACAGTACCAGCATCAAACATGAACCAAACAATAAACGACCAATGAGCTTGTACGTAATAATGACAATTATTTGGGAACATTTGGGGCCACGCTAAATCACCTGACATGGTGTTTGTAAGTAAGTCTCCGCAAAATGACATTGTCTGGGTGATCTGAAGCCAACTGCCGCCTGCGCCAAAATTGGCTGTCCACAACATCAAGGTTGTGGCCTGCGCCGCTTGCGTTTAGGATAAGAGTTAACGTGGTGAGGTCACCGATTGTTCTATGAGTGTTCGGGCCCGAACCCAAAAGAATGGATTGAATTCTTATTGAGGATAGGTCAGCCAACCAGTAAACTTGAATCATAAACACAACAAACGGCCTTCATTGCAAAGATCACTGGCGCGCTGAAAGGAAAACACATGGGGGGCACCAGGCCCCCCCGTGCCCTTGAGGAATGCTCCGCGCATCCCAACTTGCAACCATGATTTCCTGGATGCTGAGAGCTTTTCGGTCATAGTCATAGTTTTTTAGTCATCCGTCTAAGTTGCTGTCGGACTTCCGGCGTAGTATCAAAAAAGGAAACCCCGGCATGAGTGGTAGATGTCAAGACCAACTGATTTAATGGTTCTTGCGCCATCAGAAGCCTGAAGACGGGCAATAAGACCTCACCATCTGCAAGGCCTGAAGGTGTGGGCCGCACCTACTTCCTAATCATTGTTTGCAGTTAAGGGAGAATGTTTGCACACGGGCTATCAGGTAAACAGTTGCTTGCACTCTCCATAGAAAAATCTTCATCACGGGCGCCTGGTTTCCAATCACGGTTCTGACTGACCCTCTCGACAACACGCAGCGGCTCTAATGGCCGTACAGAGCGGTTTGAAAGAAACCTGGCAATGGAATCCTCAAACTCACTGGGGCAATGCAACTCACGCTGAGTTTGGAGGTACGCTCCCATCAAGCTGAAGAATTGATCGATATCTTCATGTGAATGGCCTGTCTGTAATGTTTGAACGTGAGCCTTTCGAAGGCGCCCACGGGCCACCATGAGTCCCAGGTATCGCGCCATCGAGTTCGACTTCACTTCTTTGCTGCAGTTGTCACCGTGTACGCTGCATTCGTACTGCCTGAGATCCAGGCCTTTCAAAGTCAACAGGTGGCAAACGTGGGCCAAAAGTTCTACCGTCCAAGACGATCCCTTCACAATGCTTTGCTCAGCGAAGTAAACTCCGACCAAATGGCCGTGGACTATGATTGTGGTCACATCCAGATTCGGCCTCTGCAGGCCTGCCAGATCCTTTGCCTGCAGGACTGCAGACCTTGGAATGCACCATTTGGAACGGTCCATTGAGTCTATTATCAAGGTTATGGTCTTTTGGCCTGCCACATCGACTCCCAATCGGCTCGATGCTCGCATAGTCCAATAGCCGACGCGGTCTGAATACTGACGAGCCAAGTGAACGTTCCACAAAGCTGCTTGTGCCTTTACAGCATTCCGATTGTGTGCCACCTTTTTCATAATGAACTTGTGTTTCGTGCACTCTGAGCATTGTTTGTGTTGCGAAGCCGGGCGTATCTTCAGGATTGAGCCAAAGTTGGACTCCCAAACCTCAGATCCTAGAGATGATCCCAAACAGGTGGATGAAAACGGATGGGTGTTGCCTCATTATGCGATCAATTTCCAAACATATCTTTGTGATCAAATCAATTTCATGGGAGTCCGGGATCTTACCAACAACAGGACATGTAAAAAAAATATATATATATAGTTCGATTTCATTATATATCATATTTGATTTATAAACCTAAAGCCGAACAGGGTCCTTTCAGATTTATATCCTATCAAATTGGGGTGACATCAGGAAGTCCTAGTGACTTTGGAAACTATGTCCAACCAATGTTTTCTTTGCTCAGCAGCAAGGGGCCTTCGTGAATAGTCTCAAGTTTATCTTGACATCTGGCTCTCGCGACCACAGGACCTTGAGGTAGTCTGTGTAATTGCCAGGCGGTAGCAGCCTGACAGCCTTGGATTGCTCCCCAACCAGTGGCCTGTCACGCTTGGTAGCAACCCGGGGCCGCTTACCCCTCAGTTTCGAGAAACGAAGAAGCTTCAGCTCTTCCCTTCTGCCGCCAAGGCGATCTGACGCCACCTCAGGCATAGCCTCGGAGACCTGTGTGTACAAGTAGGTCAAAAAGTCATGAATGACCTCTCGCTTGTGGGTTTGCCTCCCATCACCATAACACTTGGCTTTAGCAAACCGCCCGTCTCCAGGGCATTCTTGCTTAGCATTGATTGACTGTCTCATCTTGGAGGCTCTGTGAGTACCGATGCCAAGGATTCTGCTGAGACCAGAAACGCACACACCATGCCCCAGAAATTGAAGCTTGCGCTGTCTTCTCACAGGCTGACAAGGTTCGGCACCACTCGCTTCGCTCAGCGCGTGGCGACTTGCCAAGAGGTTGTACACCTGACAGCGGGAGCCATCAGCCATTTCACTGAGGCTTCAAATCAACAAACATACTCTGAACCCTGGGGAAACATAATGCCCTACTAACCCTGAACCCTGGCTATTTGAGCTAATTTGCTGTTTGGTCTGCATCTGCTTTGTGCATGCTGCGCAATGTTGACCGTAGCTTGCAAATTTGCTCCAACTTGTCTGATTCGCGGAACGGTTGAAAGCAGTTGGTCTTAGTAGCCTTCCGACCTTTTCTGGAGCATCTGCATGTCGAGAAAACAACTGTTTGAACATTTTTTTTGATGTCACGCTCTGCCAACCTAAGCTCCTCAGGAGAAAGCTTGCGCTTCCGGCAAGGTCGTTCCCTGCAAACAGCATCTTCTAGATTCAGCGCGCATGCTGGCGCACTAGCTGGAACAATCTCGTGGGAAGGCTCATCGTCTGAGAGGGTGGTGACATTTGAGAGCATGGCACGGTGGACACAAGAGTCACAAGAGTTGAAGGACTGTATATGAAAACTTAGCTGTGGTCACAACCAACGCTTATCATTATGTTCCGGTGCTCGCAATCTTGCATAAGCGCTGTAGCCATGATGTGTGATTGTATAAAAATAAGTTGGTCAGTATGGAACTAACAGGAACCATCATTGCTTCCGACACAAGGTTCACACAGCAAACAAAAAGCACTGCAAACACACGCATAATAATGAAGCACTGCCTGTGTATTTTGCTGCAATCATCAATGTGCCATACGCTCTGTCTGTTCAAAAGGCAAAGGCCTGAACACCCCAGAACCTTGCTCACATCTAAGTTCGGTCCGAAGAATCTGAGAAGTCAGAATCACCCAGAATCAAAGTTGGGCGGCGAAGCATCTTGACAAAAGCTCCCGAAGTCTCAGTCTGAGCTCGACGTGATCGGGAGCGGCTGCGCTGCGTTCTCTGGCCTCGTTTGGAACATAGTGCAGACAAGCTCTTAGGTCTTAGGGATCCTTTGAACTAAGGGCAAGGCCTTTACTGTGATCAGCCGCTACTGACTTGATATTATCCTCATCCTTGGGCGACTTTACCAGAAATGAACTGAGTCCATAAGACCTCTGTCCGTTTGACTAACCATCTCGCCTTCACTCCGTTTTGGTGAACTTCGTCAGTCTGAAGGGCCTGCGCACAGTCGCGCAGAAACTTTAAAGTGCAATAATAATTCTGCATTTTTTAGTTCGCGCACCAAATCACACCAACCATTAAACATAACAACCTGTTGCAATTACATTGCACTTTGTTTTCAAGTGGTGCCTTGAAGTCTTGAGTGTCATCATGAGACTGCTTGTCCTCCACAATCAGCTCACCGGAATCACCTCAATGATGGACTTGTGTCTCTGAATCTCGAGGTGGAAGCTTGACTGCAACTCATTTTGACCTGCCATCCAGGCTGGACGAGTGAGCTGGGCCCCGGACCCATTGTACCCAAGTGCGCCGCGATGTGGGCACTCCCCAAGACCCCACTCTGCCCCACAAAAGCTGCAGCTAGTCACTACAGACAGTACAAACAACACATGACAATGAGAAAAACTCTTAGTAGAGCAGCTGAGAGGTTACCTTTTTTGCACAAACTGAATCTCCTGTTCAAGTGTCAAGCAACACTTGCTCTCGGTTGGCATAGGAACACATAGACAATCAAATTACACCTTGCAGCGGTGTCAAGCAACACTTGCTATCAATTGGTGTAGGAACACATAGCAAAATCAAATTACACCTTGCAGCGGCGAAAACTCCTGCCCCCAGGGAATTAACGGCGTCGAAGCTTCAAGGAACACTTGCTCCCGAGCATAGAAACACATAGTAGCAGATCAAGTTACACCTTGCAGCGGCGAAAACACCTAGCCCCGTCGAAGCTTCTCTTCGATCAAGGACACTGCCAGCTCAGCACATCTTGGGAACACTATGTTGCCCAGTGCATGAAGACGGGATTCATCCTGCTCACTGGACTCGGTGGTCAGCCACTCTGTGAGGGCAGGGCGTTGCGATGGGTTCCAAGCCTTCTGACACTGCTGATCCCAAGCAGCAGCCATCTTCAAGGATGCGTCCTTCCATGACATGATCCAAGCTTGTTGCAATAATCTTTAATTTCAGATTCAAACCTTCAGTTTAGTCAGAGTCAAACAACACGACCGGTCAACAAGTCTGAAAGAAGTGTGCTATCATGGCATTCAATCAAGAACGACAACATCACTCCTTAAAGTGAAAATCTCCCTTGGTCGCCACCAGGAATACTCGACCACGGTAGACCTGGGGTCACAACGCGCGATAGACACCAGAAGCAAAGGGTGAGTCCATGTATTCGGATCAAGTACAAAACCATAATTAAGATCCCTGCGTTGATGCCGACATTTTGTCCAGAGACCGCCGCCCAGTGAACCTTCATCTTCCTCTTCGCAAATTCCTTCACAGCATCAGTCAGAATGACAGTTTAATTTGACAAAGGGAGACAGGCAAGGGTTGGACCCCAACTGTGCAAGACTTGTCAAGCGCCTCGAGCACAAAATCACGGATGCCCGACATCCGCTCAGTCAGCAGGTTGAGCACGTTCTCCAAGATTGCAAATTGCCTATAAGTACAAATTGTTTTTTGGTTTGGACGGCCACTGTTTGAATCCAACATCACACATATCCTCTGCCAAAATACAGAGAATCACACTGGTCACACAGCCTAAAGATGTGCTTCACCAAAGAACTCCTGACGCCTTCCATGCCTTTCATGTTGCCTGCTTGGCATACATCCTCAATCCAAACACCAGCAAGTTTGCAAACTCTTCATGCTTCACCCTGCACGCATTGACATACACAAAGTCCACCCTACATGCCCAACCCCATAAAAGAAAACGAGGCACTTGACATGGGAATCCACCCACAATGCCCTTTGCGCGTTCCTTCACGGCAGAGCTAGGGTTATACTGAACAATGTCTGGGTGGATCTCTCTGCGCGAGGAATCCACCCTTCAGCCATTCGCTTGCGAAGGACTTGCTGGCAAAATTCATCTCGCTCTACCTGAATGAAACACTCACTAGACCACTCAATTCAACATCTGACAGCAGAGCGACGCAAAGAATCTCAGCTGGCCACATAAACGCAGGCTTTGCAAAACCTTGTCGCAAAACCACAAGTTACGTGACAACATTTATTCCTGTCAAGCTGAGACCGTGGCTGTCGGAGCCCCAGTTCGAGGCCGGCTACGCCGGCAAAAACTGATATGACCTCCAGCTGTTTTCCCTGCACAGGAACAAAGCTTGGCTGACACTGATTGAGAAGCTACCAAATGAGATACCACAAGGTGCGTGTTACTTAGGCCAGAACAGTTACTTATAAATTACTTACAAACTTACACTGACTTATGACCTTACTACTTAGACCAACTTATAACCATACTTATAAGTAGGCTAAGTAGAGCGCAGGTGTTTGACAAGAGCTTGTTTTTTAACTTTTTTACTTTTTTACAAAAACCTGTTTTTTTGAGGTTGTAAATTGTTATGTTTTAAGATTTTTTTTGTAAATCCTGGGTTTTTTCATTGTGTGAGTGCTCTTCTAAAACCATCCCTGTTTGTAGACCAAAGAGGGGCGAGGCAGCCGCCTGTTGAACATGTCAGTTCCTACAACGGTGACACCGCCACCTAAAGCGGACACACCGCCAACCCCACATAATTAAACGCAACAGCGACAAAACAAAGCGGTGTGTGGGTCAGCGTGGTAATTCTTTTTCACAGCAAGGTAGTGAGCACATCATCGTCCCATCGCCACCACGGAGGTAGCGTCCATGACTCGCTCAAAGCAGGCGTGAACAAATGGGACTCTTGGCTTTGCCAAAACGCGTCCCCAGTTCCGTGACTTCAGGCACTGCAGCTTCTTCAAGTCTTCAACCAAAAGCTATATGCGGTTTGCTCTCCAAAAACGATTTCCTCCACCACACCAGCAATACCAATGGCCTAGAGAGAGCTTTCCTACAGAAACCGAGGCAATCAAGAAACAAGGGAGTTCCTTTTTCCTTTGGTGAACGCTCAATGTGGCCAGACATCTGACGACTACATCTGACGACACTTGACCTCACCCTGACTACACACGATGTCAGAACGAAGTCAGGCCCGACGACACCCTGACGACACACACGATGTCAGAACGAAGTCAGGCCCGACGACAACCTGACGACGCACGATGTCAGAACGAAGTCAGGCCCGACGACACCCTGACGACACAC